TGATGAGACTCGGGTGAGGTTATAATGAAGTTTATTCTAGATGTAAGAAACTTTTTGCGATTAAAGGCTATGCGAAATTGAATGGAATCATAATACCTATCCATTTCCCCTGTTAGTCCTAAATAATCTTAAATAATCAATATTGATTAATTTATTATTAAGCCCGGTAGCCCTGATAATCAATTATTGCTGACTTGATCTGATCCTGTACTAATACTGTACTCATCAAACATCAATTTTTTTATGCAGAACGCGATAACTTCACATATGCTGTCAGTCCACACTCGAAGCCGTGAACTGGATAACGTTACTGCTTCCCTACAACATTCTGGAGCTGGAGCCAGTTCTACAGGTGGCAACAGTCTTCTTACCGGACTTGGTCGTCGAGTATCTTCGCTTTTCAGTTTTGCAGGTGGATTGGCCAGTGGAGCTGCAGGGCGCGTCGGGACTGGCAGGAACATGGAGTCTGTAAGCTTTCCTAACAGGGCAAAAGTATACAGAAACATTAAATTGATTCCAATGTATATTTCGCCATCTATCTCCATATTACATTTAATGTGTACAGGACAATATCCGCTGGAAGCGAGTGCGGAGAATGTAAAAAGCGTCGCGTAAAGCCGGCATGTAATGGAGGAGCGTAAGGATAGGAGGGAAACTCGGAGCTTGAGGTAACAGACATCCTCATGCAAAAACGTGTTCCGTTTCCTTTGCCGCCTCGCTTCAGCATTACTTTCTTAATGTGTGCGTGTGCCATCTGATTGGCTCATGGATAATGGCCTGGCCTGATGAGATCCCTCACTTTGATCTAGTGGAAAATCTCCTATATTGAAATCGTGATTAATGAGTTCTAACATAAATCATAAGTTAGATTCGGCTTCTTGTAATGAGGCTAATCGGTGTCGTGGAAAAGGATTGGCACAAATCAAAACTAGTGTGAAGGAGTATGATTGAGAGATTTGTTGCCTGGTCTAAACAGGAGACGACGGTGCATTTTCCATTCTCTTTTATAATGTGGTTGTATTTGAGAATGCCTGAACTTTTCAGTAAGCTCAAACTAAAGAATATCAAGGCGAGTCTGTCTTCTTCCAATAAAAAAGGCTCGGAAAAAAAG